TTGGATTGTGGGAGAGGTCCTTTCCGCACCTGCTGCCCATCATCCTCATCACTGACCACCATCCTCAGGGCTGATCCTCCTCTCACTGATCTTGCTGCTGTTGGTGATCCTGTTGCAATGTGGATTGACACTCCATTGGTTACCAGCAACGATGACTATTGCAGCTAGTCCCGTGTGGGAGGAAGATTTCTGAGCCCTGTATGTGGAGCTGGGGGRCAAGCACTGTGTGTGCCCCCAGATTTCCCAAAGCTCTTGAGCAGAATTATCATTTCCCTGCCATTTCAGAGCAAACCGACTTCACATTTTGCTCCAGAGGGTGGCTTGCAAATGGTTTTTCCCTTCCCCTCTCCTCCCGGCTGGGCTGGCTGCCAAGGAGAAGCCGCAGAAATCCTCGGAGCTGTGTTCACAGGAGGCAAACGTGCTGGTGTTTGAGCAAAACCCAATGAGCGCTGCTACCCTCGTGTATCAGCAAGGATGGGAGAGGGAGCACCTGGGACCCCAGCATGGGAAAAGAAGAAAATGAAACTCAATGGGCATTTTAATGGAGTGCCCTTCTTGTTGCACATGTGAGCCTGCTCCTGCAGAAGATGCTGTGGGGTCTCCTATGGGAAGGGTCTCCAAAACACGCTTGGAGGGGCTTGGGTTGAAGGTCTTCCCAGAGGAAAGTCTTGGGAGGACTTTGTGGGACCAGAAGTAGCATGGTTCTCCTATCCCACAACAGCATTGCTGCTCTGGGCAAAGGGCTGGTGCTCTCTGTGTCTTTGGCTTTTCTCCACCAAAGATGCAGGACTGCAGCTCACCCCAACCTCATGGACCAGGCAAGAGGGTTTCCCTTTYACCACTTGACCTAATCAACAGCTAATGTTCTGGCATAGCAAAATACACCTCAGAAAGGGACGAATCCTCTTTTGACCTTAGTCTTGTGCCTCAGATGACAGTCAATAGAAGGGCCCGTTCGCTCTGACTGCAAAGCATGGAAGACCACTGGCTGCTGGCAGAGGAAGGCAGCTCCTCATCCCAGTTCCTTAATTCCCAACTTTTAGAGCATCCCTTTTGCCTTCCCACCATTCAGAAGGTTTTGGCCATCTATTGCCCTTCCTGTGCTCCACTTGTTCCTTTTAGGGACAGGGTGACACAGCCGCTCCCAGCRTCTCAGAGAAGACATTGGAGTATTTTCCACTCCACCCCTAAATCAGATCTGCTTTTTTCTAGCAGATCTGTTAGTGGGATGGATAGATGATGGTCCATGGGAATGGCCATCCTGCCTGGATGCCAGCCATGGCTCCTGCTAGCCTGGTATGTCACTATTCCTTCGCTAACACCCCCAGATAAGCTCTACTTAAGCTCCTARCTGGCTATTGGAACCCCAAAAAGTCAGATTAGTAGGAGCAGTCACTGCTTTCTCCCTTGAAATAACAGAAAGGACCCAATGAAACACCTAAAAAATTCCCAGTGTTTATCCAAGCAACCCACAACCTTATCTCAGCTGCCTGTCTTTGCTCCTCCTTGCGGRTGCTGGATCACGGACGTGCAGTTCTCCACCGTAGGAAGGACATCTGAAGTCCTTAAGGCATCGCGTTCAGTAGATGGAGGATGAAAATGCRCAGCCAGCCAAGACTGAGGGTGAGCTTGGACTGAAGGAGAAGAGCAGAGACTCGGGCTCCCRTCCACCATCTGCCATGCACAAAAACAGATGTTTCCCTTTGACCCTCTGTGCTTCAAAAGAAAGCAAGCCAGCAGCATCGCACCACACAAGGCTGGTTTTAACCTCCGCAGTCTTAAATACTCTTAAGTAGCTGGGGGACAGCCAGAATTGTGGGATGTGGCCAGGCTGGAATGGGGGCACTTGTAAAAGGAGTGTTGGGAGGAGAGCAGAGAGGTGGGAAGGTGCCTGTTCCTTGTGCACGTCATGGTTGGAAGCCACCAGTTTCTGCAGAATGGAAGGGGGTGACCATCACAAGTGGTCAGTGTTCCCCATGGATGGAAGGAGTGGGTTTAACGGCACAAGAAGGTGACAAACCCAGAAYGGTTGAGGTTGGAAAGTACCTCTAGAGATCATCTAGTCCAATCCCCCTGCTCCAGCAGGGACACCCAGAGCATGTGGCACAGGGTGGCATCCAGGCGGGTTGGGAAGACCTCCAAAGAAGGAGACTCCACAGCCTCCCTGGGCAGAGGAGGAGCAGATGGAGCAGAGAGGGGGGCATGCGATCCCGGCTGGAGATGCTCCAATGGATGAGTGCTGAGGATGCAGGACAGCAACGCACGYGGTGGGACGGACGGCGCGAGGACCCTGACGTGCTCTTGAGGCACCCAAGCAACCCAAGGAGCTCGGGAGCAGCAGCCCATCAGCGGAGCCATCCAGRGGGATCCCACGGGGCAGGCCGGGCCGGGCACTGCCAAGCGCTGGCCCCGGGGAGCCGCTTTGCTTCCTTATAAGGCCCAGGAGCTCCGGAGCAGAGCGGGAGGCTGGGACAGGGCAAAAACGGTGCCTCTTCCTCAGCCTCCTCCTCCTCCTCAGAAGCTCTGCTTTGGCTATTGCTCTTCAAGGCAGCATAAGGTGTCCTTAAGCAGCTAGAGATCGTGTGGGCGACGAGGTGGGAATCTGCACCGAGGTGGGAATCGGCACCGAGGGGTTCTTGGCCATGCAGGACTTCACTGGGAGCTCACCCGTAAATTCAGCTTTCCAAGCGGTGGGCGTAAGGAAGGATGGAGGTTTGCATCCTTGGAGGAGGGATCCCAGCTCCATTGGGCGACTGACACAACGTTCCCATCCTGGATGTGGGATTCAGGAGCACCTTGGGCCAACAGCAGCGTTGAGTGACGTTACTTCTTCCTGCTTCTCTCTCCACCTGCAAGAGAAGGATGAAGTCTCCCTGGGGAAGCAGTTTGAGGGACCTTGSGCAAGGCAGCGCTGGGAAAGGTGCTCCTCGGACATCAACGTCCATGGTCTCCACCACAGCACAAGTGTTCAGGTCTTGTCCTCACCATGGTCAGAAGGAGGGAGATGCCCAGGGAAGCGCTACAAGATCTCCATCCCCAAGGTGAGGTTTTGCAGCCAGAGGACATGAAGAGACCTGAGAGGACAACTCCAAAAAAATACCAGGACTTCACAGAATCACAGACTCACAGAATGGTTGAGGTTGGAAGGGACCTCTAGGGATCACCTAGTCCCATCCCTCTGCTTGAGCAGGGACACCTAGAGCAGGGACTTGAGTCAATGTCAAGGCAGGAGATCTGCTCCTAGCTTTAAGGGCCTGAGCTTGGCCTTGAGTTGTCACCACCGCTTGGAAACTCCCATATTTTGTCTCTCATCAACCCCAAGCTACTGGGTTCCAACACGGCACAATTGGGCCTGCTGAACTGGACCCTGCAAGGTCCTGCTGCAGGGCCCTTGGCCCGTGCTCCAGGAGCCAGTGGAGAGACCAGGATGTGAAAGGACACGGACACGAGCACTTGGAACAACCACGGTCTCCACTGTGGCGCATGAATCCAAGGGTCTGGGCTCTGCTCCCCACCCTCAGTAGTGTAGAATTTGTTGGTTTTAGCTAAAAGCAAAAAACATTCCTTAAAATTTTGAAAGCAAGAAGCCAAGCTTAGACCTTCCTGCTCCACATCACCCTTGGGAGCAAGCAGGATGCACTGCAGCAGGTTCCTGAACAAACGCAGGTCCCAAATCAAGCTGCTTGCAGTGAAAAGCAGGTGAATTCCCCCTCTGCCAGCACAGAGCAGGGCACAGACGCTGTCACCTCCCCTTGGGAATGCCCCCTGTGGCCACCGACACATCCCAGCTCCTGCAGGCGCCAGGTCTCCAGCACGTAGAGAGCTGTAGGCACCTGGCAAGCATGGAAAGAGGGAACCTTCTCCCTTCGTTTGCARCTCTGGGGCCTCCTCGTTGCTCGTGGAGGCCACGCGGTGCCTGGGGACACTCAGGTGCCTCCTCAACTGCTGAGGGGGCATCCAGGGACCCAAGGCCCCTGGGGGGTTGGCAGGCCCCGGAGTGCAGGAGCAGGGGAGCATTAGATCATGATTTTGGAAGTCTGCAGTTCGCCTAGGTCCTGCTGCAGACATGAAGTCATTTTCCTGAGGAAGCCACGTGTGACGTTGCCTGGGTTGTGCGGGGAGCAGGTGGGAGCGCTGGGGCTCTGTGTCCTTTCCAAAGCATCAGAGGGTGACATGAGGTGACACGCGGGAAGAAAGGAGCTCCTGTGACATCCTTCACGCTGCTGCATTCAGTCAAACGAGGCTAGTTTGGAGCACTGTCCAGCCACAGGTTGGATGCCCTAAAAAGACCAGTTTAAGGTTTCCAGTTCTGTTTAAAGACCTTCCATTAATCACCGGAGTGAAAAACAGCAGCTTCTGGAAATCAGGGTGCAGCACCTCTTCCCATGAACAGCAACGACAAAAGAAAATCTCTCTTTAATAGGTTTTGTTACACAATGTTACTCTCCAAATTATATTCCCACCAAGAAAAACAGAAAAAAAAAAGTGCTATTTTTCTGGGACAGATACAATGGCCTTTACAGAATTTAAATCAAGATTTTGCTCCCCCTTTCCCAGTGGCTCCCTGCATCAGATACTCCAAGCAGAGCATGAGAGCAGGTTGCTGCRCCAGGTCCTTGATTTTGGAGGGCTGTGGAGATGGCAGCGCTTTTTTGCCTCATTCTCCCGTTCCTTTCCCTACAAACCTCCAAGAGGGAAAGCCCAAGGTTTATTTTTATGTTAACTGCCCTGACCTGCTGAGCCAGGGGCTGGATCCATCCGTTGAGGACACAGGCTTGGGCAGAGAGGCCGGTGCTGATGCTTTTGCTCCTGGTGCTCTCCTGTCTGCTATGAACACAAGGACAAYGTGACTTTCACTGAAACAACTCCTGATCGCTATTAAGGGTCTGCACAAAATCGAGAGTCAAGGACTTGATCTCCTGGCCAAAACAACTGTGCAGGTGCCACCAGTTTGGTGGCTCTTTTGCATCCCGTGTGTCACAGTAGTTCCAGGCTCCTGGAGGCTAAATCCTCTTTGCTTCACACCTTACCTACCTTTGCACCAACCAAAACCACTTTCTTGAGCAAAACCAACTTATCTGTTGGCCTAGCAACATTCACTGGTGACACCAGTTGTCCAACTGAGAGACCTCCCCAGACCCAACTTTGGATGCTCTGAGCATCCATCCTCTGGACAAACAGGTCTTCTATGCATCAAATGAGCACCCAAAACCAGAAGCATCCAAGATGATGAGTCTGGTTTACTTGAGTGCACTGCTTTATTTGTCTTTGATAGTTCTTCGACCCCCACTTGCTGTCAGATGTTTCCTTCAACAGGCAGATGACCAGATGTCCTAGAAAACACCTCCTGTTGCCTGGTTGATGCCTGCAAAAACTTCCTGCAAGCCAAAACCACCACCAACAGAAAGCGGCCGYGGCCAAGGACACCAGGTACTGCTGTTATCAGGAAGGTCCTCTAAACACCCTTCCCTCTGACTCATTAGCCTTCAGGGTTAACGCCTCATTAGTCTTCAGGGTTAACGACACAATTGCTTTCTCAATAACATTGGAGACCTTCCCCCCATGACACTGGAGCCAATTGTGTGGGAAGCCTTCGTGGTGTTTTCGCAAAGACAGAGCTCCAACAGTGTCCCAGACTATAATTAGGCATTTGAGTATTTTACAGAGGATGTATTCAACGAAGAAAAGGGTAAGAAAGTTTTATGTGCGCTGCTCTGTCCAAAAAAAGATTATGAAAGGCGCAGCAAAAGCTATTTACCAGCCTTGTGGGGAAAATCAAGTTCATTTCATTCAGTTCAAGCTGAAGCAGATGTTTGATAATTGTGTGTGTCTGAAGACCTGTTCAGTCACAGCTTCTAACCAGTGTGAATGTTTAGATCAGCCTGGACAGCTGGGAGGTGTAAAGAAAAGGGGGGGGAAGGGGGGGGAAGCAACAAAACAACCCCAAAAATGCCACAACTTGGGTTCTAAGTTAGCCCCTCCACCACACATGGAAGGGGCYTTCAACACTGAACACATAAAAGGCCGTATTAAAAAAATAAAATTTCATGTGACTAGATTAACAGTCTTTGAAGAGTCCCTCTASGTTCTGATTGTAGCTGGAAGTTTCTGTAGGGCTTAGTACAAATTGTTGCATTAACAGATAAACCATCTCCCATACAAAATCCAGTCCAAAGGGCTTACTTACACAGTAAGCAGAGTGTCTTACGTAACAGAAGATTGCAAGTTTTTGCCTCCAAAGCTGCAGCTCTCAAAGCTGCCCAACCAGTAACTCCTCCGAGCTGCCAAGGGGAGCAGGGGCAGGACCCAGCTCACTTCTTCTGGAAGAAACCCATGATGGAGACCTGTTTGTTGGCCTTGGTGGCGGTGGCTGCCCCCTTCTTTGGGTTCTTCTTTTCCTCCTTTGGTTCCCTCTTGATGGTGGGCGCGGGWGGCCTGGGAGCAGCTGCTGGCTTGGCCTTTGCAAAGTCATCCTCGCTGTCTGTGCAGGATTCACTCTCGTAAACCTTCTCGGTCACTGGAAAGCAAGAAACAGATAAATAAATAAAGGATAATGCACTACTATGCATAAGGAAAATGTATAAATAATGCCTATGCAGTGAAGAGCAGTGACTTCTCCACTGCAGCCTTCCTTTTACACCAGAAATGAGCATGTGGGGTTCAAGGAACACATGCCAGGCACAAGGAATTAAGGCCCTTTCCTCCAGGTTATGCAGGAGATTCAGGAACACTGGATCCCAGTACTTCTGGAGTCCAGAAAACTGGAGTTCAGGACTGGTTTTCTTTAYACTGTGTCAAATCTCCCTCTCTTCTTAAATATGAGAGGGAAATTTAATGACCTGGGAGCTTTAATGCCATCCAGTTCTTCAAAAATCGGTGAAAACATCTTGGTGTCCCCACAGACATCCACTTGCAGCCCTCACACTGCAAAGACCTGGTTGCTTAAAGACCTTTGTATCACAGAATGGTTAAGGTTGGAAGGGAAAGGAAGGGAAAAACGCAGGTGGACAAGCAGGGCAAATATAAAGAAATCCTTTTTCCCAAACTGGAGTCAGCTCCACTGAAGAAAGCTGGGGTAGATAGGAAGAAATGCTGCTATTCCAGCTTTCCCAGAAGGGCTCTGGTATTCTTCTACTCAGTCATTTTTCATTAGGGCCTGTATTCTTTTAAACAGATGTCTTAACTTCCTTACTTCTGGGAATCTAGCTTTAATGTGCATTAATACATCAAATTAAAGGAGGTTTTCTACGTCATCAGAGGTTAGGAAGAGAAAGGGTACGAAATCCTGCTCCTCGGTGTTAATGAACACTCAAGCAGGGACTATAAATCCAAGCTAACAACTTCAGAGGCGACCAGCTTTGCAGGGAGCAGCTTTAGGAGACCACCAAGCCAGTGGCTGAGCTTTACAAAGCTACTGAGTGTCACCCACGTTGGTAGTTGCTGGCAGCTCCAACGGCGGGTGCTTAATCCCCTCCAATTGCAGAAAACAGAGCTGAGATTAACTCCCTTTTTTACTCACCTGATCTGCAAAACTTGGTATTTGAGAGCCTGCAAATAGAGTGACTGATACAGAGCGGCTCAGCTCACAGCTGGGACTCCTTAAAGTAGARCTCTAAGCTTAAAAGTCACTGCCGTGTGACCAATTTACCTGCAATGTAGACATGTTTATTCCAAAACTGAGGTCCACGTGTGCCCTTTCAGGCTTTAGCAAGAGCAAGGTAGAAATGCATTAGTTTTAACCTCAGTAACTCCCCTTTGCTATAGATTGTGAGCATGCACTCCAYTGGTTGTGTCCTGGCTGACGCACAGTAACGTGCCTAGTGTTTGACCCCACATMTGCTTTAATTGCTCAATTTCCCCTCAGGGCTAAACCTCAAATTAGCTGTGCTTTTTGACACCAATTCCTCGTTGTTGCAGCTCTTGTGAAAACGATCCTTAAAAAAAAATAATAAATAAAAAAAAATCACAGGGAAAATGCAAGTACTACCTAATCTAAATCCCACCATTCAGCATCTCTATAAACTAGCCTTTTTTTGCAAAGAAAAAAAAAAAAGACATCAGGGAAAGAAAATTAGAAAATTGCAAAAGATAACAAGAATATGCATCAGCCTGGGAGATTTTGCAAGTTATTTGGCCTCCCTGTGTAGGGAAAGGGGAGGAGAGGGGGAAACTGGACAATAAGCAGAAGGCAAAYTCTGCATAACAGCCTGGCCTGTTTTTACTGCAAAAAGCAGCATCTCCTTCCCATGCAGTTTTTCAGGATCACGGATCCATCCATCTCTCCTTCCTAGATGGCCTATCTTCCAAACACACACCAGGCCTTGCATTTCCCTTTCCCTAAAATCACAGTGGTTCTGAACTGTGAAGCAAAGGTCTGGATTTCACAACAGGCTATTAAATCTGTGAGAGCGGGGAGTGGAGGGAGAAACAGAGGCAACCAGCCCAGCCCTGATGCCTTTGGAAAAGGCAAAACAGAGAGAAAAGCAAAATTTTGCTGGAAACTGAATCCGGAACAGTCATTCCTGTGAGCTCTGGATACAAACCTTGTTAAACTTCACTCCCTAGCTAATGCTTTTTTTTTTTTTGGGTTGTTGTTCTCTTTTTCTTCCAAGGGTTTTAACAGCTCTATCTGGGCTGTGAGTGCAAAACACCCCATCATGCAGCTGGCAAAATTGATCAACAACTTTGTACGAGTCCATTTCTTTGACAAAAACACTGCAGTACTTGAGATTTCAGTTACTATCACGGCCAGCTGATGAGCAGCCTTACGTTTCTTTAAAAAGAGACAATACAAAGCTAATAGGAAACATAAGATACGACCRTACAAACAGGTGCAAACAGACCCAAGCTGACTCATGTCCAGGCAGCTCCACGTTGGGGCCAGGCAAGCCTGCTTCTCTCTCTGCTTGTGCACGAGGGCAAAGCTGGCAAGAAGAGGCTCCTCTTCCAGGGCTGGCCGAGCTCCTGGTCATCTATTCAGATTGGATTCAGATTCAGCCTGGATTCAGACTGGGGAGCATTAAGCAGCTCACGTGGTTGGGCTGACAGCGGTGCTCTAAAAAGCATTTCCACCCTCTTCGCTTTTAAAGCCTGTGAGAAGTGTCTCTGAACGACTGCAGCTCTACTTTGGTGTCAGGATACAGGGGTAGAAATGAGCAGTGTTATTCCACAGCTTCTCAAGGTCACTTCTCAAGGAAACCATGCCTGAAATTCAAAGCCTTTGGCTTTCAATACTTCTGTGAAGCCTCTCTTGCCTCCAAATAGCAGGACTGTCCTTATCAGGCAGGACATCCTACCTAAGCTCCTGATGTTTCCTACTTGGACCCTGTTTATTTGGGATACTTAAAAAATATATATATTTATATATACAAAACTTAGAATGAAGCTGCGTTGCACAGCTCTGGAGACACAAGCAACTCTAACTTGTCTCCAAAAACTGGGCATTCTCTCTGTGTCATCCTTAAAAGCTTGTGTCTTTGGAGAGAGGAGCAAATGAAGATGTTCATACTGCTAGSAGGGAATGGAGAAGAACTGGAAGGAACTCAGAATATTAGATAGATTCAGTCCATGACTCCCTACCATTCCTTCACCAAAAGGGTGGGTACATCAGGCTGGGAACACGAAGCTGAAGCAAAATAAAGTGGTATTGTGAACCTCTTCCCAAGCCTTGGATAGGCCTGGCCTGAGAAAATAAATCTTCAGCACATCTCTAAGAGAGCTAATCTTACCCATGCAGCCTTCTTCTTCATCAATAAACATTTTGGATTTCAGCACACGCTTCCGTTTCCTCCTCTTCCCTCCAGCTGAAACCTGAAGGAGAACGTGGCAYGGTGAGAAACCAAAATCTAAGGTCTGAATTTTAATGTAATCAGGTTATAAGAACATCAGCACCAGGAGCTAAACCTTGTCTCTTCAGGCAAGCTGTGCACGTTTTGGTCACTAATTCTGGTCCTTCCCAGGTTACCTTGGTCTCATCTCTGCCAATGCCACAGTTCTCCCTATGCTACCAAGACAAATTTGAGAGAGGCAAAACAGAACTTAAATGTGGCCACAGCCTTTCCTGTCTGTAGCACAAGGGACTCACTCTCCCTTCTGGGGGACGTGACATGTTGAAATTTGTTTTGCTGGAAGGGTGTGTTGGGGTTGTCCCAACATACCCCTGAAGAACGAAAAAACAACAAGGTGTGCAAGGCATCTGAAGCCTGGTAATGGAATAACGGCACTTACAATAACGTTACTTGTATTTTCTCAGCTCAGAGGTTCCCTTCTTGCCAGTCGCAGGCCACCTCTCTTAGGCAGTAGCTTGTCTGTGCTACARGGCTGAGCACCAGGATTCTCTGGTTTCATTTCTGGCCCTGCCTGGACTGCTGAGGCTGAGATTTAGAGGGCAGGCTGCTCAAAGACAAGTCACAATTCAAAGAACCAGGAGGAGGGGCAAGACGAAAAAGGAAACCCCAGAAACCTGCACTACGTTGGCTGAAAAGCTGGAGTTTAAATAAAGTTATGTTCTAGAAAATGAATAGTGAGCACAGTGATTTTTTTGAAGCTGGGCTGTGTGCACAGGCAAGCAGGACCTTCCCCCTAGCTTTAACATCTGAAAAGTGGTTGGAAAACCTCCTATGAAGCAGGTAATATATGATAACCACCCCAATATGTTTTTACCTCAGTGGGTACAGGCTCCAATTCAGTCTTCAGTGCAGGTGGTGGAGACAGTGGTTTCTCTTCCTCTGGTGTGGAAGGTGGTGGGATATCTGCTAAGAAGCACAGGATAATTCCCTGGTTGTATGCAGGTCCACTGACCTCTTGCAGCCACTATTTTATCTCAGCTGATGTGATTTGGCTCTGCAAGTTGTACCTAGGTTGAGCTGTGCAACTTACACCTCAGGTCTGGTTTATTCAAGCCACGACTAAGTGGTCCAAGTTGGCTGGCTAGCTGCAGACAGAAGTCTAACCTGCAGTTCCCAAAGGATGGGGGAAAAGTGCATTCAATATTTTTGGTAAGCCCTAATCACCTCTCCCRAACAAAGCACTAAAATTAAGCAGAGAAACTGGAAAGTTTTAGCCACGCATTTCGCTTGCTCATCAAACAAGAGGCATTGTGATCTGTTTAGATATTAAAGGAGTCAGGGTTTAAAACCACATATTCCCAGCCCAGGGCATGACCTTAATTTCACTGGGTACCCCTCCCAGCACTGGTAAAAGAGCCCTTGCTTCACAAGCGGCGCTACAAATCCCAAATAATCAGTGCTATTAGCCTGAAACAGCCTTAATCCAAGAATTAAGTGCAATATACTATTACTCACCCTAATCTTGTTAATGGACATGCCAACCCTTCATGTGAAAAAAAGATACAGCTAAGTCTACCCTTTCATGTGTCATCGTGAGATCCAAGTTCTTCTCTACGCAGCAGAGGGGAGCAAGGACCAAGAGAGTGGAATCCTTTTGATGCCAAAACTAAGCAAAATGGGCAACGGCACCTTCACTAAGCTGGGCACAGCAAAACCAGCACCGGGACCTCTGATAGCTCCATAAAACAAGACCTGAGTGAAACCTGTAGGGCTTATATACATAGGGGAAAGACAGGGTGAGACCTTTGTGGACCTGGCAAAGGGAGAAAGCTCGGAGGACAAGGTATATTCAGCCTGGAGAAAACGGGAAGAGCAGCGCCCTGCATCACAGGCACGATCACATCCTGCACATCCTGCTGCATCACATACACAGCAGGCACGAAGCCCAGCTTGAGAGGCTTTAAATAGAGGCCCATCCAAATCCAAGCAAAAAAAYCACAGCTTTGTGGGTCCTGAGATGCGGGGGAGAGCTAGAAACGTGGGGCAAGAAACTCCTCGCCTGACCTATTGCTTAATAAGGACCACGGGGTGGGAGGATGGAGAGGCTGTTTGGCCTCTCTTTGCAGCCTCCGCTGGCTGTAGCTTGTGGTGCTAACACGAATTCTGCCTCTCGAGCTGTCCCAGGCGATTAGGTCAGCGGGAAGAGTTATGGCTGCGCCAGGCCCGCGGCCAGGCGCCCTTCGGAGGTTAAGAAGGGCTCGGGCGAAGCAGAGGTTGGCTGCCAGTGCTGAAAAATAAATTACGTTCTTCCAACAGGGCCTCGGCCTCCTAACTACTGCAGGGAGCGAGGCGCAGAAATGCGAATGGAGGGGAGGAACGTGACTCTGTATTTCCCCTTGCTGCAAAGGGCTGCACCTGGCAGCGGCGTGGAGATCAACCCGAACATCTGATCTTCTCAAAGGTGCTCAAGGGCCGGGCCGAGCAGAGCTGCGGAGCTGCAGGGAGCTCCAAACGCTTCGGATTTATCACCATCTCACAGCAACTGCAGGCTCAGGTGCCCTGAGCACCCAAGGAGCTTCATRGAAGAGCAGACACAGGGGTCAGATCCACTGTAAAAGGCTTAGGAGAGTCTAGGCTAGGAGGACTGAGAACTGCCCTGGTGGAAACTGCAGCTCCTGGTGAAGCAGAGGTTGATGAACGTTCTTCAAGATAATGTTTCCATCTCTACTGTTTGCATTTGGGGGAAACTGGGTGTTTTCAAAGCAGTTTCTGGCAAACAGAAAGCCTCTTCTCCCCACAACAGAGGGTTTCTGCCTACCACAAAGCTGCAACTCTCCCTTGATCCTCTTGCAGCCAGCAACAGGCAATAACCCCAAGTCAACCTGTAGCTGCTGCCCACAACTCACCCAGCAGCAAAAGCTGCACGAAACAGGTACAGGCTGGGCCACTGGCTGCACCAAGGATGCAAATCCTGGCTTTGTTCAGCTTGCTCCCAGCTTGCTGGATAAACTGTGAAAAGCTCCAGCGCTTCTGCTGTTGCTCTCGGAGCGACAGAGTTTGCAGGTTTCAGGGCCACTGAAATCCCCATCCAAAGTGGCTGTAAAACCCTTGTCAACACGATGAAACACTGCCTGTGTTGGTATAGCTGAGGCTGCCAAACCTCCTGTCCTCTGTGGACACATTCGGGTAGTTTACTCTGGCACTGGAAGCAAAACAACCTGCCCTGACTAAGACACCCTCACAGCAATATAACTTTTTAATGAAAAAAGTCATTTTGAACAGAGACGGTCGCCTCTTGCGCCTTCTGTGCTTTCAACTTGCTGCAATGAGCTGATGCTCGGGTAAGGATTGCTTCTGCAGGGCTGATATTGGTAACAGAATCACAGAAGAATCAGAGGGTTGAGGTTGGAAGGGATCCCTAGGGATCATCCAGTCCAACCTTCCTGCTCCAGCAGGGACACCCAGAGCACGGGGCACCCGCTCCAGCCCGGCGCGGTGGGAAGGTCTCCAGAGCAGGAGCCTCCGCAGCCTCCCTGGGCAGCCTCAACCAGGGCTCGGGCACCCTCCCACCAAACAAGTTCTTCCCCACGGCCACATGGAGCTGCCCGGCCTCCAACCTGCACCCACTGCCCCTTGGCCTGCCCCTGGCCACCACCCACAAGAGCTTGGCCCCTTCCTGCCTCCATCCTCCCCTCGGCTGCTTGCACACACTGACCAGGTCCCCTCTCGGCCTCCTCTTCTCCRGCCTCAACAGGCCCCGCTCRCTCGGGCTCTCCTCACACGAGAGCTGCTCCAGGCCCTTCCTCAGCCCTGTCGCTCTGCGCTGGCCCCTCTCCAGCAGCTCCACGTGCCCCTTGTCCTGGGGAGCTGGAGACGAGCACCCATCTCCCTTGCGACTCCAGCAGCACCCACTTTTCACCCCCGTTTGCCACTTTGAAGGGTAAACGCTCACAAGGTCCAGCTGCTGCACAGTTTGATCCTTTAAGTATTTGCTCTATCCAGTTTATACCCTTATGCAGTGCCTAACATTGTATTTTACACCTTACCAATTTGAATTCAACCTGAGTATCTGAGTTGAAACTTCTCTCCTTTGACCTAGCTGGATTTAGAAGGGCACAGCAGGAGCCAACCTCTAACGCAGAGCTGATCGAGTGGTTTAGATGGCCTTCAGCTTAAGAGAGCAGCTCTCAGCTCTTTGAAAAAGGAAATAATACAGYCTAACTTGTATAAAACAAAAATTTGTACGCAAACCACTATGATTCGCTTAAATCTGCAGTTCTAATGCCTTAACACAAAGCCAATTCTTCATATAGTACAAAGCTACTTCGCCAGGGAAGATGGAAAGACCAAAGACAACTCATGCAGGAGGAGCAGGAACACCAACCAAAGCATCTTCCAAATGAAGAGTCTGACTTTTTGCTTAGGAGCAGCTTAGATAGGGGTAAAATTCCCCGTTCTCCAAGAGAAGTAGGAAGGTGTCCCCAATTCTACTCTATTTCATGCCCAGGGCTACTCCTTTCGTRTATAATAAGACAAGTAGATCCCTAGTCTCACCAGAGCACCAACTCTATGGCTTTTGTTTGCCAATGCAGTTGAGCCACGCTTAAGATCCCCAAAACAACAGCAGAACAGAGCTCGTAACAGGGTCTCCACATGGTCCCACCACAAACCTGCAATTAGGGAGTCACTCCTGCCTGTTCTTGCTAGCAGAGAACTGAAGAGCTGCGAGATTCCAACCCAGCAAAGAGCTTCCAGGGGGCAAATGGGCTGATTTCAGTCTTCTTGCTCAAGAGCTACGCTGAGCTTGTCAGTTGGCCGAGTGGTGAGCAAATGGAAAGACCAGATAATAGCTCACAAATATTTAAAGGAATAAATACCAAAGAGTGCGGGCATATATATGTTTTTTTATGGCTAAACAAGGAGCTGCACACAAGGCATGTGATGAAATTACGACTGATCGTGAAGAGCAGCTTCCTGAGAGATTTATCATCCTGTGGAGCAGTCTGAGCAGACGTGATGGATGCCTGATGACAGAGATCACTTGAAATTGTGCTGGGCAAGAGAGAAACCATCAAAATAGCAGCCTTTTTGCCACCTAGATATCCAGTAGTAGCCCCCATGCCTCATTTTATTACAGATTCCCTTCATTTCACAGACATTTCTCATGTCCCAGCCATAATAAACAAGCAAAAAGCTTCGGTCCTCCTTCTGGAGCCCACCCCTTTGCTAACCCACCCCATTAGCTGTTTTATCTCTTTTTACTGGAGCKGCACACTACCCTGATGGTTTCAATTATTCGCCCATAATGATCTCCGAATTCTTTTCCCCATCAGCTCGCTGGATGACTGTTGCATTTCGCACTGATTCCCCCGCGCGCTTCCCGGCTTATTTTCCAGTTATCTACGTTGAACGGCATTTGTCACCTCAATTATCCAAATTCTTCGGCATCTGGCTCTGCTGCTCYGCGTTACGAGCCCAAAGCCTGCGATGTTCTGGGCACCCTTCTCCCATCAAAGCCAACAAACCCCGAGGAGACGCGGAGTCGCATCGGATACGGCTCGACTGTTTGAAAACTGTTTTCCCTCCAGTTTTTCGATTCTCTCTTTTTGGGAATCTGGCTTCCAGCGCTGCCTTCCAAGCCATTTCTATAAACAGCCYGAATAAAGATACTAAAAATGACCCTTGAGGGGTGGGGGTCACATAGCAAGTGTTTACAGCTCATCAAATGAGTTGGTTATGAGCAGTTATATAATTCTGGAAGGCGCTACRTCTTTCAGAGAGGTTTGAGAACCCATTTCACAGAGGCTGGTGCCACTGGCAGCTCACGCGGCGATGGGAGGGCCAGAGCCCAGCTAAGCTAAAACCAAGACTAAACAACTGAGGCATCTCAAGCCCATGCTCAAGTGCCAGCAGAAAGAAAGAGAAAGCTCCAACTACAGCCATATTTGCCCAGTCTTTAATCCTCTAAACTCTTCCCTCCATCGTTGACCAAGAGCCTTGGAGAGCAATGCTGTTGAAATGAGGCCCCTGACCTACATGCCTGGTTGTTTTCATATCTTTTACCTTCGTCATCACTGCTGTCAGACTGGAGCTGCTTGATTCGCCTCCTCTTTTTCTTGAGATTTTCGGGCTCTCTTTCCTCCTCATCACTTGACTTGTCCATCCTCTTCATTTTACTGGAGCAGGAAAAAGAGGGAAAAAAGGGGAAAAAGAAAGGATGAACGTGTGTTTTCTCCCCTGTATTCGTGACAACTACATGTTTATTCAGACATGTACATTTATGATAAAGGAAAGGAAGGAATCCGACAGGTCTGCACCTCAAACACAAGTATTACATACTCTGAAGCATACTCATATATGAGAGTATGAGGCACAGGACCTCAGCATACTCACATATGAGGGGCATAGGCAGCATGACCCTGCATAGGAGCATTTTTATGCTTCCCAACCGTACCCATATCCAGTTCTCCCAACGGCAGGGCTTTCCTCAGCCCCTCTACAGCGCAGCGTTTTGCCAAGTACCTCACCTAGCTTGGCCACAGCAACCTGGCCAAGAGCCCCTTACCGATCTGGTGTCTCGAGCTCCGGCTCCCAAACACCCGTGTCCCCAACAGGACGGCTCAGAAGCTCCTTTGACAGACTGCTTGCCACTGACCGCCTATGAGGTAGTGTCTCAGAATCCTGGAGCCCATTTTTAAAGACTACTGGAAAAATAAAATAGCTTCTTTCTTTCTTCGGGCTGGCGAGACGCGTCGGACTAACGAGCCTGGAGGCTAAAGCCCACATATCCTCATGGAGCTGGGACATCACGAGCAGCCTCCCCAAGACCACGGTGCCAATGTGCAGTTTCCAGGCCCGTGGCTTTTTGAGCAAGGCCATCAATAAGACGACGAGTTAGCGCTAAGTGCGATGGTGGGCTGGGTGATGTGCTCCCCTAATTAGCAAGAAACCGCCTGAGACCACTAATTAATCACCCACAGGCCACCAGAGAGCCATCAGACTGTAATGAGTTTTGGTCTCTGTCAGTTTGGGTTGGATGAAACACAAAGGGTTGAGCTTGAAACGGACTTGGAGGCTCAGCCCAAAATAAACCGGCGACATCGAAGGCTGCAGCACGTTAGCTGCAGCAAGCAACAAGCAGAACTTTGTGTGCTGGGAGCTCCGTGGGRATGAGCTGGGGGGGATGACCCTCCCTGCAGGGCAAGGTGCTCTTGCCAGCCTCCCCAAATTGTCCCGGGGTCCCCAGCGAGCCCGTTTGCAGCATGAGGTTGTGTCATGGAAAAGCCACCTCGTCCCACCGAGGCRGCCCTGGCCTGTGTCCCTTCCCAATTGCAACGGGCACAAAACGGCCCCGAGGCATGTACTGCACTAAATGGAAAAGAAATATTAGGAAAACATTCGAAGAGAGATCATTTTAGCCACGTTTAATGCAATTGAGGTGCTGGAAACAGGAGGTGAGCCAGCATCGGACGAGCAGCCAGCTCGGCACAGGCCATCAACAAGTGGGTTAACAGAAGGGATCACAGGGGCCCTGACAAGTGCTGCCCACCTTGTTTTGTCCTTTTGCTGAATTTTAGCAGACTCTGTTTTCCTCCCAGGTTTCTCTGCTGCAGCACTGGAGGATGATTCTGGTTCTGCAGCAGGACTTGAAGGCTTCACCACTTCTTTCTCTTCCTTTGGCTGCTCCGGTGCAGAATTCACTTTGAGTTTATCTGCAAACAGAGCATCAAGAATGAACAAACCTCGGGCATTAAGGGAGAACTGGAACTTGCAAAGGAGCTGGCTGAATGAAATGCTGCAGGCCAAGAAAACAGAAGGCACTAGAGACCATGGGCAAAACCATTAAGGGATCTAGGTTGACCAAACCACCACAGATGRAAAAATAAAATAATAGACATTGATTTCTGGCCCATCTACTGCATTAACACTCCAGGCCATGGCCAGTAGCTTCAAAAGTGCCCTGGCTACCTCTTCCCTCTCCACCTCCAAAATGGTCAAGAATCAAGCTGTTTTGGCTACGCAGCACCACGAGCAAGGACAGTTCTGCTCTAAGAGGCTTAAGCTAGTTCTAGGAAAGCACCAGCAGGTAGGAGGGGGCAGTGAAATAGTTTATCTGTCAAGCTGATGGGCAGAACTTTTAGCACATCAGCACCCAAATATAGTTTCTTATCCTCATTCAGCACCTTGACACACATGAAGAGAGGGCGAGCTGGAAACCTGTATCAACTCAGGGGCCTCAGGGAAGAAATAGCACGTAATAATGGCAAGAACCACACTTGAATAGGAGTAGAGGCTATTGGGAAGGCTAAAAGATGTCACATCAACACCTTTCTGCCAGCAAAACAGGCTGGTTGCTTTGCTGAGTGAGGGAAAATATCTCATGTTTAACAGCATGAATGACTGCTGATTTATCTGATTTATCATCAACACCACCGAGGTGGAGGACTCAATAGTTAACTTGGGGCTTTCTGGCAATAGTGAAATCTTTGAAGCCAGGAGAGACGTATCAGCATGGAGGAAATAAATCTCCCTCCTGGCCCCGACCTATCTTTTCTATATGCATAATCATTTCCAGTTCTGCTCCGTTTGCTCCGTCCTGATAAGCTCCCAAGTTTCCTTGGAGAGCAACCTGAGAGGGCTACGCAGCGAATCTAACCCCACGGCAAATCATGGGAACAGATCCAAGGAGATTCCTGCATCACTGACATTTATTGTCACCACTGCAGTTTCCTGGGTGTTCTCAACACAAACTTTGGTCCATAGATGTTCTCAAGAACTTATTTACGGCACTAATTGCCCTTAGCATTGGAAGGGCTGACTCAAAGTGTCCTCAGCTCCCTCAGCCTGAAGGTTTCTCAGAACAGGAGCTCAGAGATGCCCCACAGTGCTGTGCACTGTGTGCTGCAGTGGGCCCTGCAAGCACTAATAAGAGTCTCCTGTGAAGAATTTTGCCATTTATTCTCCTCCAACAGCTCTTCTTTCAATCCTCCTCTATTCTAAAAGCATCTTTTGAAGAAAGTCTGCAGCCCTTTTCCAATGCCTGTTCAACAGCTTCAATGTGTTGTCTTTAAACTTGAGTAATTTAGGTTGGAAGAGACCTCTGGAGACCATCTAGTCCAACCATTTACTCAAAGGGGAAAAAAAAAAAAAAGACTCCTCATTTTTCTACTCTGATTATTAGCTCTTCCATTTGCAACAGAGGAATTAACCCTAAATAGAACTATAGACTCTTCAGTGATTTGTGATGAAAAGCAAATGTCATTAAGACACTCTGTCTAACAGGTTTTGGCAATCGTTTCACCAATAGTCAATCCTCCAGCCAAAAAGTACTCACTTTAAATCAGTTTTCTTCGGCACTAAAAATCCTTCCTGGGTTAGTTTGCACAAATATGTCATTTTAATTGATCTCCACCCAGCAAGCTTTTTGTCAGAAAAATTCCACTTTAAACTTTTAATTTTTTTGCCTTGGGCTGCATAACAAAAGTTAACTCCTCYGAGTCCAAAAAAGCAGAGAAACTATATAGAAAATTGTATCAGCACAGAGAATATAGCCAAAAAGCAACTAGCTTCAAGCCTTATGGTTTGGAAARAGAGTTTTGCTCTTTTATACTTTAGTTATACCTCCCCATCACAACCACATAGCGAGGTACCAGGTAYCAGTAACTATTTTTAATCACCATTTAGCAAAATCAATAAATTTCTGATATTCTTTTGGACTTTTAGGTTTGTTTTAAACTACAGATGGTTGATGGCCGACCACAATGGCTTCAGAGAAGAGCTGTACGTTATAGAGCACTTACTCATGGCAGCTTTTCCAAAGAAGTTGGTCATCACGTTGACCTTTGCTGGTGGCTTGCTGCTCGCTGAGGACACCTGGAAGCAAAGACAAGAGTAACCACAGGGTTTGTGCTGCCTGCACTTAGCTCAGGATCCAGCTAAAACAGGCAAGGACACTCCCAGAACCCTTAAAGTGCAGCCCTCAAAACGCCTGCTGTTGATATTGGAAGAATAAATTGATTCAGGACACAGATTTTATTGACTAGTCAACATCTTAGATTTCAGTACTGGTTTAGGAGAATTCAAAGATCCTAAATCATGGATCTGAGACTACATTACTCACCACTCCTCAGTATTGCCTTCAAATCTAACTTAGGTCCCATTCCCTTCTGATGGCTGCCAGTGTTACTGAAATAAGTGGTTGGGATTTGGGTCAATTCCCAGTAAAGAATCATTCCTTTTGGGCAAAACAGCAGTACCTCAATTCATATTAACCAGCAGAGGAAAGACGACAGACTGGCCAAACCATGAAGACTTTCATCGAGCTACTCTGGCACATTGCACAGTTCTGCTGAGCTGTATGCAAAAAAAATCACTCTCTGTTCTGTTAATATTGCCACAAYCAAAATGAAAAATAAAATAAATTATATATATATTTAATTCTATATATATTTTTATTTTTTAATCTTTTGTGTATATAAAATTATATATAGACACACATACACATATATAAATCAAATACATTCTTCTTCCTTGTGATCGAGATATATATATGTGTGTGTATATATATACATACATATATATACACACAGACATATACATATATATATATATATATATATCCCCATCCCAAGGAAGTTTGGTCTCCTTTTGGCCTTTATTTTGATGAGAAAAAAGGCAATCAGCCACGAAAGTTTCCAAAACACAGGCAAACATATTTCATCAGTTCTAAATTCAACCTAAAATCAGAAAACCGACCCCAAACCTCCKCATCYGTTATATAAAAACAAAAGAAAAAAMCAAAAAGGCCAAGCCACATGAGTATTTTAATAACCATTTAACAGCCCTAGGGCTTTAAAAACACTTTTATTAATTAAAACAAATTTATCCTGGAGTGGCAAAAGAAAAGCAGTGGAGAAGATAAACATTTTAGTCCTGCACAGGTCAAACTCTGCAGCGTCCCTCACAGACCAAGTTTAAACACCTTGATTAAGACCTGGAAGTCTCACATGGTTCTTGCTGCTCCAAACAAATCCTTTTAAGCACAGCTGGGGTGTATCCCGCCATAAGCAAAGGCAGGGGAACAAAACTCTCTTTTTTTGTAGCTCTGCTGGTTTATTCCAGCCAGGGACCTGGCTCAAAGCTGCCAAGTTGTGGCACAAACTTCTACGGGCGGCACAATATAGGTTGTTTTACAGACTATGTTTTACGGCTGGTCTCGATGATCTTGAAGGTCTTTTGCAACCATAACGATTCTGCACTCCT